CTGCGCAGCAGCCGGCGGGCGGGGCACCGAGTGCGCCGCCAAGAGAGGGGCCTTTCGGAGGCGCCGGGTCCGCGTGTGGCACGTCTGCCGGGGGAGGAGGGCTTGCTGGAGAAGGGCGGCTCGACCCGACGGGGCCGCACCCCGCTGCAGTGACGGCCGTCGCTTGGGCCGGGGAGGACGCGTCGGTCTTCGTCGGCAGCCGGATTTGCGTCTCCAGCGCCGCGTCTGGCGCATGCGGTAGCGGCGCGGGCAGCGCGGCCCTCTGTGCGGATGTCTTTGCGGATGGCCTCTCCGCGGATTGCAGTTGTGCCGGCGAGCGGCACAGCGTGTTTCGCTTCGACGTGTGGCGCGAGGCGTCGCCCGCTTCCGCTCGGGTTCGGGCGGCGGCGGCGGCGGCGGCGCGTCCCTCGCCGCTGCTCCTGCTGGGCCGCACGCACGCGCTGGTGTCGAGCGCGGACCCGCACTGCTTAATGTGGCGCCGCCTCTCGCCGCCGTTGCAGCCGAGCGCTGCGGGGCCGGGCCTGCTGCGGCGCGGCGCCGTGTCTCCTGACGGCCGGCGCGTCGCGCTCGCCGCCGCGCGTGGAGTGGCCGTTCGCCGCATCGACGAGGCCGAGATGTTACCGGCGGATTGGCGCGTGGCTTTCGACCCTCCGGCGCGCCGCGCTCGCCCTGTGGCATCGGCAAGCGCCGCGTCGCTGTGCGTGGAAGAGCTGCGCTGGCTGGAGGAGGAGGACGGCGCTTGCGACGTGCTGCTCGCCATCGGTCGGCCGTCGGCGGGGGTGGATCGGCCCGGCGTGCGGCGGCCTGGCACGTGGGGAGTCAGCGACGCTTTGGCGTCGGTTGGATTCGCTGAGCCCCTGCCGACACCAGACACGTATGCCGCTCGGCACGCCGGGACGGGCCCGCTCGAGCTGCGTGCGCTCGATTGCGGCACCATGCGTTTGTTGCTGCATTTGCCGCTGCCCGTTCGCGGTGTGGTCTGGGGCTGCTCTAGCGTTCCTGCTGCGCCGTCCCTCCTCGCCTTGGGCTGCGAGCAGGACTCTGGCGCGCAGGCAATCTGCCTTGTCACCATCACGCGCTCGCCTCCCGCGAGGCTCCACGCACAAGCCGTGCGGGTGAGAGACCAACCATTCACCACTTCCCGGTCGGCTTCCCACCCCGACACTCTGCTGCGCGAGTGGCGCCGCTGTTCTCCTCTGTAGGTGTTGACGCCTCCCCATCCGGCGGCCTCACCCCTCTGTGGTCTGAGCTGCGCGGCCGTCGCTCCTCTGGCGGCGGCCGCGCACAAGCGCGCGCCGCTCCTCGAGCTGCTCCTGCTGTCTAGCGACGGCCGCCTCTCGCTGCTGCGCTTCGCCACTTCGTGCGGGGGTGCAGCAGCGCCGTCGCGCACGCCTCTCGTCGAGCCGATTTGGCCTGCCGCATTGCCGCGGTCGCAGCGCGTGCATCAGTGTTGGCACTTAGCGGGCGCGGCGTGGGCCGAGGAGGAGCGCAGCACGTGGTTTTACAGATGGGACGGTGGCGGACTCACTGCTTCGACGCGCCCTGGCGAGGAGGACCGCGAGGTCGAGGCGGTCGTCGCGAGCGGTCCCGGAAGCGTGCACCTCACCGAGTGGCAAGGCGAGTCGACGGTGACGTGCGAGATTCCCCTGCTGCCTCAGCAGCGTGAAGTGGCGCCCGTCGCTATCCTCCCCGACTGCCACGCGCTCATCGGCATCGGCCCGCCAGAGCTCAACGCAGCTCAGCTAGGGCCGCCTCTGGTGGCGCAGCCGCTGCTCCACCGCAGCTTGCGGTGGCTCCTCACACACCAGCGACGCGCGGCGGCAGAGCGCCTCGCGCGCGGCCCGGGCTGTTTCCGCCGCCGCCATTGCCTCGAGCGGTTACTGCACGAGGCGACGGTCGAGGCGCACAAGAGCTGCCCTCTAGGCGAGGGGGCGCGGCCGCTGCTCTCAGACGTCGCGCTGCTGCTGCTGCGCGCACTCCTTCCGGCGGAGCGTTCGCGCGTGATAGCAGGCTGTGCGCCCTTGTCGGAGCCCTCTCACTGGCCAGTTCTGTTTCGGGCTTGTGGCACCCCCGACGAGCTGCTCAGGGCATCACTCGCTGCCGGAGACACTCGAGGAGCAATGCTCTTGCTGCTGCCAGTGCTCGTCGAGTGCGGCGTGTCTCAGTGCGAAGCCGCGTTGCGGGCGGTCCGGCAGGCTGCCCTGTCTGCGGGCCAGCCACAGACGATCGCCGACGTCGAGCGGTTCGAGCGACGGCTCACGGCCGCCGGGGCCGGACGCGAAGCGGTCGTTTCTTAGTGGACAGTGTGGGCTTGAGTGCGCTTTATTGGCCTCGCTTATATGTGACCCGTCTGTGCTTTGAAACTGTGTGTTGCAGAGCTTTAGTTACATGCACATGCACCTAGCAGACCAAAAAACATATTTGTTGTTTCGCGCCCAGACAGGCCTGCTCGCGATCGCTCGAACGGGATCTTGTGTGAAATTTGTGGGCTTCAGCCTTCACATAGGGCCTTGGCAACCCCGATCCCCGTAAAATGCGGAAAGGCACCCCCACTCTCTGCCGCGCCCTCGATTTGAGCCACCTCGCTCTCACAGACGGCTCCTCTGGTCGGACAGGAGCTGCAGGAGGAACGGCTCATATGCGTTGGCGAAGAGTCGCGAGAAGAAGCGCTCCTCCGACGGCGAGCCGTGCACCAGGACGGTGAGGGGCGCATGGGAAGGCCGCTGCGAGCGAAGGGTGGCGAGCAGCGAATGCATGCGGTCCACCGCGCTGTTCGCCCCCTCGGGCAGGAGGTCGGCGCCGTCCGCGGGGCGCGGGGTGCCGAAGAGCTGCTCGAGGAAGGCTGGCGACGCCTGCGCACCGACCCAGAGCGACAGCTCTTGCAGCGTGTCGAGCAAGAGCACGCTGCTCGGCGAGACCTCGCTCCCTCGAGGCAAGAGCTGCTCGCGGGTGGCGGCGCTTGGAGCGAGGGTCGCGGCCGCCGCGCCCTCGTCGGGCGCCTCCTCGGCGGCGAGCGCAGCGTCGGCCAGCGGAGGCGCCTCTGCCCCTTCCACCGGAGCCCAGCCGTCCCCGAGAGAGCGCTCGTGCACGACCAGCAGCCGGGGGGCGAGGGCGAGGCAGGCGAGGTGGGTCGGCAGCAGTCGGAAGCCGTGCGCGAAGGCCGCGAGCGAGTCGGGCGAACGCGGGCCGGCAGCGGACGCAAGACTGGGCGTGTTGAGCGGCGGCATCGTCGAGAGTGCGAGCGTCAGGAGGGGGAAGAGGGCGAGGGGGCGGAAGAGGACGAGCTCGTCCGCCGTCTTGCGCATCGGCGGCGGGCAGAGCTCGCGCTGCGAGACGATGCTGTCGAGGAGCGAGTCCTTGAGCTGCTCGCGCACCGCTGACAGCGGCTTGGTTTCGGCGGCGGCGAGCGCGAGCTTGGCAATGAGGGCGATTGCGACGGGCGGGTTCACCGACTGCGCCAGCGAGCGGAAGCTATCGGCGACCGGGATCTCGCGGGTCGACACGCGGATCCGCCGCTCTCCCGCGGGGCCAGAGTAGAGCAGCGCCGACTGGACATACGCCGTCTTGGCCGGCAGCGCCTTCTTGTCGTCCGTGTGGCGCAGCTCGGCGGCAAAAGTGGCGGCGCGGTCGACGCTCGGGAGGAGAACGATGGAATCGTCGCCCGCGCCGTCCTCCCCCTCCGGATCCGGGCCCATCCCCGACAGCGGCCGCAATCCCACCACCCTGAGGCCCTGCGACGTGCGCAAGCGCAGCACCGCATCAACCGCGGCGTGGCTGACACTCAAGCCCTCGCTCAGCGCCTCCTCCAGAGCAGCGCCAGCGGGACGCGCGCCGTCTTGGTCCGGCGGCACGTAAAACAGCCGCCCGCCGCTGATCTTGGGCAACTGCGCGAGAGATGCGACGTCCACGAACCCCGACCCCGGAGCCGCGACGAGCCGCACCGCCAAATTTGCGTCTGCACAGCCACGAGCAATCCGTTTCAGCGCCTCGCTCTCCGGCCGAGTGCAGCGCTCCAGCTGGGCGGCCAGCTCCTTGCCGTCGGGCGGTTGCGGCGCCGCGTGAGCAGACGGCAACTTGCGGCTCTGCGCCGCGCCGCTGACGGAGAGGACGAAGAGGTCTCCCGAGCTGGCAGCGGCTGTCACAATGGCGCGCGCAACCTCGACCGCGGCCTCGAGCGAGACCGCACCAGCCGACGCGGCCGCATCCCCCGACGCCTCGGCAGCGAGGCGCGGCAGCTGCTCGAGCAGCTCCTGCAGCTCGGTCAGCCGCTCCCGGATGGAGTACAGCGGCGGCTCTGCGCCACGCGGCAGGGCGGGTAGACCCTCGGCCGACGGTAGCATCAGCTCTACGGCGGGCGCGCCGCCCGATGGGTCGCGCAGCCGGTGCAGCCGCGCCGTCGCGTCGAAGCTGACGACGGCGACGCGCTGAGGCCCGAGCGAGGAGGCGTCGGCGTCGGCGTCGGCTGCTATCCGCGCGAGCGCCTCCTTGGCAGCCGCACACGCGGAGGAGAGGGCGCCCGAAGCGACCGCGGCGGCGGTGGTCTCGAGCGCGATCACCAGCACCCGCGGGCGCGCGTCGGCAGCCGTCGAGTACACAAGCGCCTCTTCGCCCGAGAGCAGGTACTCCACGTCCGCATGGACGAGCTCGAGCCTCCCGAGTGGCACCGCTCCGGCAGCCTGGGCGGGCGCGGCGGGACTGCTCTTCCAGCCTCCCCACCATCCGCCGCCGCCGCCGCCGCCCCCCTGCCCGTGAGGCTGCGGGTGCTGGGGGTGGGGCGGCCGAGGCAGATCGTTGACATGGTTGCACAAGTTGCACTCCCACTTGGCAGCATGCGCCCAGATCTGCGCAAACGGGTTGAGATAGCCGTTGCACGCCGAGCACCGACACACGAGTGGCGGCGGCGGCGGCGGACGCCAGCCGCCGCCCGCGTCGAGGGCTGTGGCCGCGGCTGCCCCAGTGCTGGCGTGCGGATCAGAGACTTGGACGGCCTGGGCAGCGAGCGGCGCGACGAGGCAGCCAAGCGGAATGCCGAGCGAATGCTGCAGCGGCGCGGTCTCGGCCGCGGCCGCGCTAGACAGGGCGAGCGCCTCATCCTTGGCCGCGCGAAGCGCCGCCGCCTGTCGCGCGTCGAGCCGTGGAAAGGCAGTGGGGTGGAGCATGGGCCGCCCGCCGAGCCCTTGGCGGGACGGAATGCGAGTGAGGTCGTGGAAGACCGGCATGTACCCTGGCGCGTGCCTGTGGCCCGGCGGTGCCGCCATTCCGTGACCGGGAGCCGGCGGGTGATGCAGAGGCAGGGGCTGCTGCGAATAGCCTGGGTGCTGCGGCTGAGGCTGGCCGTACGACTGCGGCTGCGATGGATGAGGTGGCCAAGGCTGCCCGGAAGCCGGACCGTCGCTCCACTGGCCGCCGCGCAGGCGGAGCAGAGACCCGGCCAGCGATTGCACGAGGAGGCTTGGCGTGAGCCACATCGCCTCTCGTGGCCGGGCGTGAACAGGGCGTGAACAGCAGCTCCTGACCACGGCGCCGCAGGCGCCTGTTGATAGGTCCAGGTGATAGCCCTGGATAGGCAATGCATACGCCTAGTTGGGCCTCGGATCGCCCGGCCGCGTCCCGGTGCTCTGCCGTCGGATTTGTGACGCCGCCGCACCGCGCCGCGGCCGGGGAGCTCTGGGAGGTTCAGTGTCAGTGTATATATTGTAGAGATCAACCATGTCCACAATATCTCTCAGTCTAGCTAAGCCTGGGAAGGCGATGCCGGGGCCGTACAGCAGCTTGATGGTGCTTCGCCGGCGTGCGTCCCGGAGCGGTGCCGGACGGGGGCCCAGGGGAGGAAAGAGAGGATGTCGTTACGTCGGGCACGGGAGTAGACTTGGGGTTGCCTCCAGAGAGCCAGCTCAACAATTCAAACGATGTCTTCGCTAGCCATGAGAGTGGTGACGACTCGCCCTCCGCACCAAGCCTGCGAATGCGTCTGTCGCTAGCCGAAGGCTTTGCCACACTTTTGACTGTCACAATGCTCTGGGAGCCAGCATCGCCAAGGGAATCCAGAACGAGCTGCTGGAGTTCAGACGCGAAGTTCGCCGGTGAGGTACTGGATGAGGAGTTAGTTGTGCCAACAGAGTCCTCGTCGCACTCAATGGTGGCAGTCACAACGAATGGGTCGAGGTGGTCAGGTGTGCCGTCGCTGTCTTTATCAGCGGTGCCCTCCTCGGCGTCGGGCATGCCGTCGCCGTCCGAGTCGGGGTCGAGGTAGTCGGGCGTGCCATCGCTGTCCGTGTCGGTGGAGCCCTCCTCGGCGTCGGGCATCCCGTCGCCGTCCGAGTCCGGGTCGAGGTAGTCGGGCAGCCCGTCGCTGTCCGTGTCGACCGTGCCCTCCTCAGCGTCGGGCAGCCCGTCACCGTCCGAGTCGGGGTCCATGGCGTCGGTCGGTGTTCGCAGTCACGATTGGCATAGTTGGGGTTTGGTCAAGACAAGCGTTGATGGCATCGTCAATCTCAATGTACCCTGTCGTGCCTTCTGTAAACGGCACGGTCACGACAATCGCATCCGAGGAAGCACAGGCCGCGTTGATCGCATTGACCTGCGCGACGTAGTCCAAACCGTTCGAGTACCAAGTCACGTCGAAGTCCTGCGAGCCAGCCTCGGCCCCGCCTCTCCAGACGTCCCAGAACTCGGAGCCCGCGTCAGCGTGGGTCACAAACGTGATCGACAGTGGGCAGGCCGCTTTCGCGTAGGGGTGCGTCGGGCTTTCGCCGGCTTCGACCTCGCCGCTCTCGACAGGATTCGAGCTCAAGTCCATACCTGGATTCATCAAAAGTGCGTAGAGCAGCCCGGACGATTGTAGCCCCTGCGAGTACACCGACTGGCCGAAGAAGGCAAGCTCCCCCCTGTTCTGGTCGTCCCCGCACTGAAGCGACACCGTGACACCGGCATCCGTCAGCTTATTTGCCGCCCCCACGCCCAGGGCGATGACATAGTTGTCTGAGCTGATGTCCGAAATGGAGCTGTCCACGGTCAGGGCCGAGTCATCGCAGACGCAGTCGCCCCAGAGAGGGCCCGTCGTGCTCCCGGTGTAGCACCAGGCGGTCCTGCCGTAGTCGACGGTGGTGCACGCGTCATATGACACTCCTTTGTACGTGAATGGGAAGTTCGGGCAGCCCGTCGCCGTCCGAGTCGGGATCGAGGTAGTCGGGCGTGCCATCGCTGTCCGTGTCGACCGTGCCCTCCTCAGCGTCGGGCAGCCCGTCGCCGTCCGAGTCGGGGTCCATGGCGTCAGGGATGCCGTCGCTGTCGGTA